CTTTTTAGCCACTTTGTTCAGGGAAATTAAGTAGCTGGACAAAAGTGTAATAGAACCTCATTTCTGTTTGTAATTTTAAGTGCAGCAAAACTCTTCCACACTCTTATTTCCCCTCAAACAACAGCGCAACATGACCTTAATCCTCTCTAACAAACCTTTCAGAAAACAAAACAAAACGCCCCAAACTTTGTTGATCAGCCATAGAGCTGTTACCTCATGCACTGGGACAGGCTGAGAGCTCTTGCACATCCAGGGGCTCAGGGCAAGAAGACCCACCAGAAATCTGCAGCTGAGAGACCATTAGTGGTGAAACACTTAGCTCATGGGAAGAAATTCCCTGGAATGAGGTGGGAGCTGAATGGATCCCTCTCAAGGGCTGGAGAAGGGTATGAAGGCAGCGTTTCAATTGTGTGAAAGTCAAGGTTGGGCTTTTTCCAGGCCGTACAAATAGCCGAGCAGGGCACTTAGAACCTGGAGGCAATACTGTGCAGGATGCTAGTATTGAAAACCAAGGCAAAAGACCTGTGATATGGGCTGGAGCTAAAGCTTTAGGTGAATTATTTCTGCCATGTAGGTGACTTCTGTTCCTCCGTCATTTGTGCAAAATAATTATGCTCCAACTACCAATGGTATTTAGGTAGTCGTCAATGTAGATCCTCTTCTGAGGATCCCTTTACCTGTATGTAGAGATGCTCTGGTGCCTCTTAAGATTTGACTCTTAGGCACTTGAAAATCAAGTCTTTTTTTTTTTTTGGGGGGGGGCAATTAGGTTTTCCTGAAGGTCTAGTATAGCAAGCTGCTATAATGCTCATTAGACAGTTAAAAATCCTTCTCCTGGATTGACAAGAACAGCAGAAAAAAAAACAAGTGCAAGAGAATCAAGTGTTTAAAGTTTAAACCTATCTTTTCCCCTTAAGTGAAAGAAATGGCTTAAGAGAGTCTAAATTTTCTACATCGTTTTATAAGTTTGTCTAGTGAGTAACAGCTGTGAAGGGTCTAAAGAGATGCAGAAGACCTGTAATGATACCTGCTCTTGATAAGCAGCTTGCGGAGTTACACAGCATGTGTCTTAATGCAGTATTTAAAAGGTGTGAGATTCAGGGACTTAAGTGCATGGGAGAATGCAGCTGCAATCAGTAACGTCTCAAAAATGGAAAGACTCCTCCATCTGCACGTGCTCATGATTCCTTCCAGGCTTCCATTTAGCTCCTGCAGTTTTTCATGATTGTTGAAATTTTTACTATGGTGGAGCTTCACGTTTCATAAAACATGATCAAAAAAGCCTTGAGGAGATGGAAACGGCCATGAACTTTACTAGACTAGACAGGTCTTTGCAGATGCATGTCTTCTGGAGGATTAGTGATGGTCTTCTTCCACCCAAGTTAGGATTCCATCTATTACTAAGCAGAGATGCTGTCAGCCAACGTGCAGTTGTCCTCCTCACCCATGTTCATGTGTTGTGTTGGTACAACGCACAGCTATTCCTGTGCACGCAGCTTCTGGCTCTTCCTTCCCACCAGTCAGTGCAGTGGGGCACTCCGGAATGTAGGGATTCGTGTGAGCATTCCCCCTGTCAAGGGGACCAGCCACCCTAGCACTGGACTCAGCTTCAATGTGCCGAAAATGCACACCCAACGTCAGCTGCTGTGCGTCCACATCGTCAGAAAGCAGCCTGTGTGCCTCAAACTTTGCTGTTCTTGCTTCAAATACATGTGGAACAGAGAAGCTACTTGGGGGCTGAGCACAAAATTCCAGCTTCCTCCTTCTGTCACGTTTCCAGGGAGACTGCATACCCAATTTGATGATCTGTCTTTTGCAGTGTTGCGTGGCAAGCTCACCATCTTTACTAGTATCTCTGGATGTACTTTCGTCAGGTAGTGAAGAGGAAAACAGCAAAGCAATGCTAGTTACAATCTTGGCACAACCTGTAGAGAGAGATGTGCAGGAAAAAATGTGAGAAAGACATAAGGTCTTCTAAGTTTATGCAAAAGGAAGCACTGATATCCACTAATTTTCTGCACAGACATCCAGATTCCACTGGAAAAGTCGTACATTGCTGGAAGCACCTGTATGATAAAAATGGTTTCTTAGCTAATGTAAGTCATGGTGACAATGCTCGAAAATCATTTTGTGGCAAATCTGATGGGCAGAAGTCTTTCTGTTCGGCCTGTTCTTGTGCAGGGATTACTGTCTTTATTGTGGAGACGTTGGCCATAGAGTCTTGGTCTCTCCATGAGATTGCCAAATCCCTGCAACACTGTTGGCAAAGTCCCACAAAGAGACAGCAGTTCTGTTTCTGAAATGGAAACCTATGTATCTTGTACCTGGGCAGCTAAGGAAACAGGCAACAGGGCTTGAACAGTAATCTTACAGACCTCTAGAGATGTTTTTCCTTAGTGTGAGCATCTGTTGCTCAAAATATAGGTATCTTTTTCAACAAGTAAACACAGCGTATGGTCAACTGGACTACTGTGACAGTGGCTGTCTCTGTACTAAATGAAAGACAAAAATATTTTTTCTAGAGTTTTTTTTTTTTTTTTTTTTTTGGTAGAGTGATTAGGGTTTCGTTTCAAGAATAGATATTATGGGGAAGATACCAAAATACCTTCAAATCTGTTTCACTACTCAGATTTTCCATAGCTCCATTCACTTATGTAGCCTGTGTATCAGAAGTGTGAAAAATGAGGAAAACCCCAGATTACCGCAGATTACTAATTCCAATTGATATCAGAAAGGGCCTTCCCTTCAAAACAGTAGTGATGACCATAAATATATTTTGGGGGTTCCTTGGAAACTCTGGCCACTTAAAGCTCCCTAACAGCCAAGCTGTTGGTTTTTTTTTTTTTTTTTTTTTTTTGGATAACGATGGAAGTTCCAGGGATGTGCTCATGGGAGTGTCTACGCTCGGCCTTTTGTGAAGTGGCTGCCTGCAGTGCTAGTGTAATGCTCACATACTATGAGTCACTGCTGTATGTTTTTTGATTCTGAAGGAAGACAGTACAGGGAAAACACTCCATAAACCCATGGGCTCTCTGTCCTCCACTTAGCCCCATGTTTCTCTCCACGCAGAGCTGCAGACGAGCAGCGCTCTCCGTATTCCCCATACTCTCATATGTGGCACCAGGCTAAGTGATTTGGTAGGTGAGAGATGTTTTTATTCACTGTCTCCTTCAGAGCAGTTGCTGTTTTCACTGTATCCCCTTTCCTGGGTGCTGGATCTGACAATTTTAGACGAGGATGTTCAGTCGACACCCACTCTTATTCAGCGGGCAGAGGATGGGGCAGAAGCACCTATCTAAGGATGCATCTGTTTGTTTAGTCCCCTCTATGCTGTGCTCCAAAGTGCAATCAGGGTGTTAATCAGGGTGTTAATCAGTGCGTTAACTGCACTCTGCAGTTAATGGCACTTCTCTTCCTTCTCCTTCCCTTCTGTCACTATTGCCCGCTGTTCCCCAGCAAGTGATGCCTTCTCCCATGGTGTTCCTGTCACAAGCTGTAGCCATGCGGGCACGGCAAAAACAGCCGTAGCCCTCCTTAATCTCCAGCTTTTGGAAGCTGGTAGGATTAAAAATGAGAGCTTCTTGCAGCCATGCTTCGCCTACAAAGGCAATACCTTTGTGCAGAGAATGCAAGAAGCTGACTAAGTTTTACCCTTCTTCTGCCCTTGTTATTCCACCCCTCTGGCAGGAGTATGCAGTGTGTTTGGGCTGGGCCTTGCCTGACGAGGCTTCATCGGTCTCATTCAAGCTCCCTCTCAAAGAAAGGATGTGAGATACTGTTTGATTGCAGACTTGGAACTACCCCCTCCCGCCTCCTTTTTATTATTTTTTTTTCTTTTTTAAACCACAGGCTTTCCCCCAGGATTTGTGTTGCTATAATGAACTCCAAGCCCTGAAGAAGTGGATAGAGCTCTAGGATGACAAAGCCAAACAAGTCAGTTTGAAAGGAAAAATGTGCTTAAAATATTAACACAGTAACGTGGGATAGTATACGTGTGTAGATCAACTTGCACAGTTTTGCCAGACTAAAAGGAATCACTGGGGAGAGGCTGTTGATCTGAGATAGATGGATAATTGAATAGGTGACTGATGAGGCTGGTGAGCTTTTAGAGGTAGCATGCACAAGCTAGATCCACAGGACCTATGTTTAAAGGCACTGACAGGACGGACACTGCCACATTAATGTTTTTGACTCCAAAAATGACCAAAAGTTGTCCAAAAATGGGACAACCTTGTCTATCTGTGTGATGAAAATGAGGAGTTTGGCCCCTCTGGAGAAGTGTTTTTTTCTCCTGCTTCTGAGAGGATCTGAGAATTCCCCCTGTGTCATTTACTCATGAGGACAGCAAGCATCAGGGCTCTTGGCATTCGCCCTGGTGCTCCTGAGAACAGCAAACTCTCCCGGGACAATCATCCCACTCCTCACTTGGCTTGCGGGAAGGGTGAGGGCTGACGGTAACACCATCATGCTGTCTTGTTGAGAGCTTTGGGGGCAAAAAAGGGGGGGCTGAGGAAGAAGTCTGCTTGCAATACGCACAGACGTGTTTCACGTTTATAGGGCAGGCTCATTTCAGTGTTTTATCTGACGTGTTCACAGACTAGCAAGTTACTGCCCTGCTCCTGAGCTCTGCTGAGGTGAAGGGCGGGAAACCTCTCCTGTGGGAGCAGCTGCTAAATACTTTGTCATAGCAGAGCAATTGGAAAACATGTGGAAAATCCACCCTTTTAGGCAGAAATTGTTCGGAGTCCCGAAACACGGCGCGCCGCCCGGGCCTCGGGGCGGCGAACGGGCCGCCGTCCTTGCCCCGACCTTGTCGCCTTCCCTCCGCGCAACGGCCACACGAGGGCGCATGCGCGCCGCGCCACCCGCGCTGCGCAAGCGCAAACGGGCGGCGGGGGCGCCGCGGCGTCCGCAGGGCGCAGGCGCAGCGCGCGGGGGCGGCTCGGAGCGGGGGGGCGGGGCGGGGCGGCGTGTCCCTTCCCGCCCGAGCCGCCGCCGCCATGTCGAGCGTGGCGGCCGCGAGCTGCGAGGCGCCGGGCGCGGGGCCGGCGCGCGCCGAGCAGAAGCCGCTCAAGCCCTGCTGCGCCTGCCCCGAGACCAAGAAGGCCCGCGATGTCTGGTGAGCCGTCCGGCCTCGGAGGGGGATCTCTATGCACCGCCATCTTGCGTGTGTGTGTGTGGGGGGGGGTCTCTAGGCGCCGCCATCTTGCGTGGGGTGGCGGAGAGGGTCTCTGGGCGCCGCCATCTTGCCGGGGGGTGGGAGGTGCGGGTGTTTTGCGGTGTGTTTTCCCTCAGAGCGAGGCGGGAAGGGCACGGCCTGGCCTGGGAGGGCGGCGGGGCGCGAGCCGTGCGTCGGGGGGAGTTCTGCTGAGCGGCCGCGCTCGCTGTGGTGCGGGTTGAGTGGCGGGGGAGCCCGCTGCTGCCGAGGCCGTCGTGCTGCATGGAGCGGGGTGGCGGTCCCCCTTACGGAGTGAATCCGAGTCCAGGCCTGCTCAGGATAGACACTGGTTTTTTTTGTTGGTAATTCTCTTATTATTTAATTGGAGTTCCGAGAGTGCCTTGCTGCGGGTTTGGGCACCCTGTTGAGACAGTATTCCCCTTTTTCGTCTGTGTTGCCCTTGACAAGATAGGCAAAAAGATCATATTTAGAGCCCAGTAGGCCCTTACGATCATTTGCAACAGCTTTTAAGTTTTGTGCCCTTGACTAATAATAACACTTCTGTTGTTGAACCTTGGACATCACTTTGTTTTGCAGCATCATTGAGAAGGGTGAAGAAAACTGCGGGCACCTTATTGAAGCTCACAAGGAGTGCATGAGAGCTCTGGGCTTCAAGATATGAGTGAGATGAGCGGGACTGTGAATGTGGTAAGTACCGACTCGAGGAGTACGCTCATTACTTGATCTCTGCTTCTGAAGGTCCCTGGCATCTGAGTGGATGCTGCTAGAAAACCTGGAGTGCCATCAGCGATGGGAAGGGTGTCTTAAGAGGGGGAAGAGGAAGCAAAGCGCACGGGCTCTGGATTAACTACTGCTGGCCTTGTGCAGCAGGTGAAGCTCTCTGGAAATATGCGGTCTTTGGGAGCAGCTCCTCGGGAAGAGAGGATGGGTTTGCCTCTGCTTAATAAGTATGACTTCAGTTTAGATTTTTCATGGTTAGGGTAGTGGTCATGTTGGTTCATTCTGAAACATCTTGAGCTAAAGAAAGACAGAAAAGATTTTTTTTTTTTTTTTTTTTTTCCCCGCACTGGAAAGGTGCATCTCACATTATGTACTTCTGATGTTCAGAAAGAAATTCTGGAAGCCTGTCTAGGAGCACGCTTGGGCTGTTTGTATACACCACTTGGATGTCTGGGAATGCTGTGCTGTCCCTTGATACCCTGTAGAAATCCGTATTTATCAAACTTTTTGTCCCCTCTCTTCCAGGTGGTGTCTGCTGTGTGACTGGTGTTCTGGAAAGCTGAAAAGTTTTACATTATTTCGGCAAGCCGTTTCAAAGGACAGAACATGAATAAAGAATCTATTTATAAGAAATATCTAATATTATACTCTCACGTGTTTGGCTTTTCCACTGTTAATTGACTGCTGCTATAGAAAATATATTTTTTTCTGCCTAATAAAAATGTAAAAATGACCAGTCTTATTGACCTGTCTTTAAGAATAAAGTGGCACTGCCCTCCTCATTCAAACAGTGCTCAAGGAATGGAGAGAATGAGAAGTTCCTTTACACACAGAACAGAGAATAGAGATTACTGAGCTTTGTGGTTGAGCAGATGGGTGTTGGGTAAGTTTTTCCCTCTGATGCAGATTGAGAAATCACGGTGGTGGTCGTGTTGTCATTGAAAAGCATGGCCATGCTGAAGCACGTGGCACTGTTTGTGACTTGGGTGTAACGGTATTTCTGCAAAGATAACTGCACTCTTACAAATTGAAGCTTCTCTAGTGTCAAAACTGGATTTACTTTGCCTTACTTGAAATGATATTAATAGAACAACTTCCCCCTAGGTTTCAAGCTTTGTTCTTTGTAATGGAAAGCTAAAAATGTGCTATGTTAAGTTCATTTCAAAGGAGGGGAGTAGAATAACGGAGGTGTGTATTGGTACAAGTCACTTCTCTAACGAGCAATGTTGATGCCACCTTTTCTTGTGTTGCTCTTGTTCTTGCAGTATATGGGGTTTCCTTTCCTACAGGAAGCTGCTGCTTCTGCTGCCTTTAGATCGAGGGCAAAGAAATGCCACTGGTGGGATTTATGGTGTGTGTGTGGCTCTGTTTCATGCTTTTAAGGTTGTTTTAAGATTGTTCATTCTTTGCCAATTGACTTTAAGATGGGGTCAGGGATTGAAGCTGGTGAAGGAGCTGGAGCATGGAGCTTGTGAAGAGCTACAGTTACTCAGTCTGGAGAAGAGGCTCCAGGGAGACCTTATCACTCTGTACAGCTACCTGAAAGGAGGTTGTAGTGAGGCAGGGTGGGGGTTTGGTCTCTTCTCCAGAATAACTTCTGATAGGACAACAGGAGATGGCCTCAAGTTGTGCCAGAGGAGGTTCAGGTTGGACATCTGGAGGAAAGTCTATGCAGACAGAAGCAGCAGAACAGGCTGCCCAGGGAAGTGGTGGAGTCACTGTCCTTGACAGTGTTCAAGAACTGTGTAGATGAGGCACTTGAGGATATGTTTTAACAGGTCTGGTAACTGAGGTTACAGTTGGACTTAATGACCTTGAAGGTCTTTTCCAAACATCATGATTCTGTGATTCCTTCCTTTCCTCCTACAGGCTTCTCAGAAATTTGAGATGTGGGCTCTGATCCCATGGCAAGGATGGGTGCTGTTGTGATCCTTACTTCCCCTGCTGCGGTTGCACAGTTGGAGCCAGGCAAGGGCAGGATGTGTGTGGTGACACTCAGTGCTGCCTCAGGCCAGCCAGGTGTGTGACAAGGGCCTGAGCCTCTGCTTTCTGGGATGTTCTGTGAAGGTCCCGAGGTAACATGCTCCAACATCCTCGCACTAAACAGCGGCCTGAGACCTAACTTCGTGCCACTCATCTGCGGTGTGATACTGAGGTAGGAATTGTGCCCGTTCTGGCTTGCCACCCACCAGAGTGGAGACTGGTGTCTTCCTATTGTTATTTAAAAAAAAAAAAAAAAAAAGAAACAAAAGGAAGTTGTGATTTTTTTTTTGCTGACTGGGAGCAGCTCCACACTCTTAGCAGGACCATGCACTCTTAGCATTTGCTGTCTTGGCACTGGAAACTTGGACTGAACTAGTTCATCTGTTGTGGAACCTTGTGGCATTAGAGCTTTGGAGCTGAAGAGGAGGTTGAGAGGCAGAAAGGCTGAAGAGCACCGGCCTTGGGGCAGCACGTCCGCTAGGTGTGGGGTGGGAAGTCATGTTGCCAAGAGCAGGCAATGGCCAATGGGTGGCAATGGCCATGCGAGAGGGGAGTTAATTAAGTGAGGACGAGTAAAGGAAAAACATCTTATAAAAATATGTACAAATCCTTTAAGGCTAAGAAATAGGACCTGCAGCCCTCCATGAAGGTAAGATCATGGCAAGTATTTTAGAAACACTTTAGAAGAAAGGTGGTCTGTGGGTTGCTGTGATACCAGGGTACTGAAGAGATGCTGGGCAGCTACAAACTTAAAAACAACAGGAAAAAAAATAGTGAAATTAGATTGCTTTCTGAGCCTATGTTTCTACAGAATTCCTACTGTAGGAATGCTAGTGCATTCAAGGTCTAGTGGTAGGTTTTTTATTTGCTCCATGTTACTGCTTACCTGATGAAGCTGGTGACAGATTCTGTGTGGCCCACGGTGGTCAAAGAAGCTGTGTAGGCATGAAATGCATCAGTAGCAGGAAACTTGGCTAAACTGTGCAGCAGTGGTTCACCTAAGGAAAGGAGAGGTCATTTTGCCCCTTCTTGACTCTCTGTGAGCATGTTTGAAGCAGGCTTTAGATCCCTCCCAATTACTGTAAAGCCAACGTGACTTATTCTGAATCTGCAGATTTTGTTAGTGTGTGAGTAGCAGCTGAGTGCAGTTCCCTTCATTTTTGATTTTTAGTCCTAACCAGCAATGTACCGTATAACAAATCAGAAAGGAAGTCTTACTATGCCCTCTCTGACGTCAAGCCATCAAGATCGTAGTGTCCTCAGCACACATCATCGCACTAGTTTTGTCCTTTGGTATCAGTAACGACCTTGCAGACTTCCCGATGGCTGGCTCAAAATAATAACCAGCCAGGTAATTACTGTGGGATCCAGGAGGGCAAATCTGGTACCTGGCTGTCCTCAAGGCTACAGGTTAATGCCAAGTATGCCAACTGACTTGCCAAGCACAAGGCAGGCCGTGCCTGGATGGCATCAGTGCATGCAGATTAATATTAAGTGCCACTGGCAGAATTCACTGAGACAGTGGCTGGGCAAGATCCCAAAAGGTGCTTCAGGAATTCCTTAATAGAGCCAGAGCTCTACTCCTCGCAGGTCACTTACCAGGCACCTCCACCACAGCTGGTGCAGATTTATACTTGAAGCAACCACAGCAACTTTAGCTCTCCTACACATTTGGGGCTTTCCATTCTGTATCTTCAGTATTTCAGAGGCTTTGAAATATGATTATAGTTACGATTTTATTCTCTTCCTGACTTCCTCTCTTCCTCCTTGCCTGTGCTTGCATTAATATCAAGAATCAGAGGGCATAACTGAAAATAAAGGAAATCCCACTCCAAAACATACTACATGCAATCTTAAAGACTAAAATTACTGATAATGCTCTGTTTTTTTTTTTTCCCTCAGTAAGATGTATCTGAAAGGTACCAAATTAAGAACTTTTTGTCCTACTGAATTCTTAATGTGGTGTTTCCAACTATCTGCTAGTTTATGAATTGCCCAAATTGCGGAGTGAAATCAGTAAAATATTTTGTCACTTTTTTGTTACCTCAGAAGACTTTGGATCGTACAGAAAGTGGAGGAGAAAATATGGCCTGAGGCTACCTGCAGAAACAGGACCTGGAATGAGGCAAAGGAAATGCTGTAAAGCATTTTATAAACGGTGCTGAGGCTGGGCTGTGAAGTGGTGCCTCTTATTCAAGCATAGCAGATGATATTTGGCAGCAATATTACTGCAACTCTGCTTTTCAGAGTTCTTCCCTTAATGTAGCTCAACAGTTCAGGTGCTTTGCTTTTTCTCTTGCATATCTTATGAAGATTATCTTATTATCTTTCTGAAAAGCATTCCCAATCTTTCTATTGGAGCCTCCTCATCAGTGCAGGTGAAGGGCTTTTTTAGCCTTTTATATCAAATGTTAGTCTTTCCAAAAAGAGGTTCCATTATAATATTGATCTTCTGTATGTCTAAATATAGCCAAGTTATTGTTGGGACTACCTGGCAAGTAAATGACAATGGTAGGAGAAGCAGAACTTCACTGTGGAGTCATAGGAGTCATTTCCTTCACTTTAATGTGGCATCACTTAACACAAGATTCCCATTTTCATTTCAGATACAGCAGAAAGCATTTTTTGGAATGAATTGCATTCTATAATCTTAATTTCCTGATTTCCTTTTTTTATGGCAATTTTTCAAGACTGTATAGCCGGTGATACTCTTAGAGCAGTGCTATCCAGTGTCCCACATGGATTAATCGCTGCTCCTGAGATTACTGGTAGCATCCAAGACCATGACTAATGTTTTCTTTTTAAGGTTACCTTGAAATATTGCTTTTAATAATATCAGAAATATTATTAATATTAGAGGCTAAATATTATGTTAGTGTCTTTCAGTAGATATTGTTATTGCAGAGCACTATTAGTAGAAGAGCTGATTGTGTTGAAGTGAATGGTGCCAGTGGGAACGGTATGCAAGGCAGGGCAGCTGCGTGTTCATCCTGAAACACAACCAGTCTTGAAATCCTATCTCTACTCCAGTGACCCATGCAGGCTGACTTCATACTCTTGACTGACCACACAGGTTGTGTCAATGCCCAAAATGTAGCTGCTTCCTGGCAGCTGGGCGGATTCTGCCTTTATGACTGATGGCATTTTACTAGAAGCAGGAGAGGGGTTGCTCTGTTCTGCTGTTCTGCGGCAGGCCCTGTGAGAACCAAGGTGAACGTGTGGGACCCTGGGATCAAGGAGAAGTTGCCAGGATCATTAACTGATGCTTCTCTATCTGCATTTTCACTAGGAAAGTGCCCAGTAAAAAACTATGTCAATGATGGCTGCTTTCTCCTGCTCTACGGCACACTATTTTTATTTTATTTTATTTTATTTTATTTTATTTTATTTTATTTTATTTTATTTTATTTTATTTTATTTTATTTAGGAGGAGTCTTTTATTAGAGCTTTCTAGGCTGACTGAGGTTGTTAGAAATGTGCTGCAGCCTTAGAGTACCTTGGTTTGTAGAGTGCTGTTTCTGTGCACCGTTTTCCCTTAGATACCTTTTCCATGCCTGACTGTGAAACATTGAACTAAATGGGTCCTTGTGTCTTTCTAAATCAGGTGATGTAGAATAGGTGTTTGAATTTTCCCTGAATTTTCCTTTAACTGAGGGCCCACTTTGTTTCTAAATAACTATTTAAAAAAAAAGATGCTGTGTTTTCCAAAGAGTTAGTCTTCTGCCAACATAAAGTAATACCAGCCCAGTCTGTTTTTTATTTATTTTTATTTTCTTCTTCTTCTTCTTTTCACAGCATTATCAGAATCATTGCATTTTGTTTTTATGGAGATGCAAACAGAAGCTTGCAAAGAAATGCAGACACCTGCTTGAGGTGCCCCATCCCTGCCCAATATCCTTTCTTCTGTGTATGAGAAGAAAAAAGGAGCTTTTCCACAACCTGTTGTCCATGGGATAAGAGAATCTTCTCTTGATGAACTTTCCGAGCAAAGCCACTTGCACGTGTTATGCTCTTGGACTTTTTAGGCAGGATAACGTTGCCTTCCTGATAGAGGCATTTATGTCCTAAAGCCTCGTTAATGCTGTTCCTGGTGCTCACAAGTGTGATCCCATGCGGATTTCTACCTTATATCCCTTGGTCTAAAGGGATGCACAAAATGGAGCTGCCACTTCCCTGCTGGGAGGTTGTGCTGCACAGACTATCACAGGGAAAATATTTCCCCAAGAACTGCCCTCCTATTTTCTGCGAAGTTCCTGCCATCCCTCCTAGCTGCAGTTCAAGAGGGAGATGACCTTTTCCCTTTTTTGTGCTGGAGGAAAGGCACTCTCCTGCGAGAGTCAAGAGCAATGTGCAGCCTTGCACGTGCTCCGAGTCCCCAGCGCTGGACTCGCCGTCTCCCCTTTCTCCTCTTTGTCCTGTGCTGAGCTTATCTGGGCGCCTGAGTTATGTTAAGTAGCGGGTGCATGCCTGCTCTCTATTCTCCTCGCTGCTTTTGCTCCTTGGATTTCAATTCCAAACATGGTTATCCAGTTGGGGTCTCTCCGCTTTCCGTTGCCAAGTGATATACATTCCAAATCCAACACAAGCTCCCTCTGCTCCGCTCGGCTCCCCTCCCCGCCCTGCTGGCTCCCACAGGCTCTGTTCGCGCTGCCAGAGGGCTGGTCAGAGGGACGGTGCAACAGGATCTCCCGCCAGTCCTCTCCTCTTTGAGGTTTCTAGCTAATGGCCTCCGCGCTTGCTCCGCGCGAGCTCCTTGGTCTTGTTTTTGCCAGCGTTGCCCAGGACCGCCAGGGCAAGTGTGGGGGCCGGCAGCCGGTTTTTGATCCGTAAAGAGGAAAAGCAAATCTTTGGGATTTGGCTGGAGCGAAAGCACCCAGAGGAGTGCTGTACCACTGCCGTGGGACTGGCCGGCTGGTGCTTGGGAGAAGGAGGAAGGACTTTGGAGGAGAATTATCGGAGGCTCTGCTTTCCGATACCCGCAGCCTTTCTGTATGACAATCCATCCTTAAAGCAGGACGGACGGGGAGGGTGGCGTGTGGGGCAGGATGAGTGGAAGCAGCCTCTCCTGGGCCCAGGCCCTTCTCCAGCCGACCGTGTGCGATGCCTGGAAGGAGCACTCGGAGGGAGCAGCCTACCACCTGGCCAGCTGCATTGTGCTCCTGGGGTACATGGGGGGAAGTGGCATCTTTGGCTCCTTCTTTATCTTCGGCCTGCTGGCCCCTGGCTACTTCTGCTATGCTCTGTGGGGCTGGCTGAGCGCCTGTGGGCTGGATATCTTCGTGTGGAACATGCTGCTTGTCCTGGTCTGCTTGCTGCAGCTGGCTCACCTGACTTACCGGCTCCGCAAAGATGTCATCCCAGAAGAGTTTGACCTTCTCTACAAGACCATGTACCTGCCCTTGCAGGTGCCCCTGGAGGTCTACAAAGAAGTTGTGAAGTGCTGCGAAGAACAAGTGCAGTCGTTAGTTAGGGACCAGAATTACGCAGTGGAGGGCAAGACGCCCATCGACCGCCTCTCGCTGCTGCTCTCTGGCAGGTAAGGGCCTCCCTTCCTTTGGACAGCGTTCGATGGCTTCTTCTTCTGTGCATTAGTCTTTCTCCTTCTGTATGCGTGGGTCGTGATGATTTCCTCCCTCTGAAAGGGCTTTGAGATGGGGATGAGTTTTGTTAACTGGGGGACAGTCTTTTAAGGTTTGAATATTTGGGGGTTAATCCCATTTTATACAGTGAAGCAGCCAGCCCCAGCCCTGCTTGTGATACAGTTGGGGAATTCTTAACTCTTTTTCTGTCATTTTAAAGTGATGGTATTTCTGACACAAGATGACCTGGAGAGATTGTTTTTCGAGGCGGGAAGATGTGCCTGAACCTGTGGTCTCTGTGGGTGCTGGACACATCTCTGTGATATGAATAGCCCTGCACTAAGTAGTCCAGAGTGGCAGTCTTGGGCTCACATGTTCCTTCTGGCCAGCAGTGTTGAGGGGAATGGTTTTACCCTCTATTCCTAGGGCTCAGAAACTTTTGACTTTACAGTCATTTCATTAGAAGAACTCTCCTATGATGGATCTTACCCTACAAGGTCTCTTTCTTTCCCTGTGCTCTCATCCATTCACACTGTTCCTTCCTCTGGGTTAGCAAGGAGGACCCCATAGACCTGTACCTGGTTGCAGCTTGTGCACCGCAAACAGCGGTCAGTTGCTGTTCATTTAGTGAGCAACTAAAGGGGTTTAGTGAGGGGTTGCTGACTGAGTGGGCTGTGTTAATGAAGTACACCGTTTCGTTCCCTTGAGATCCAGTGGCTGGAAGAGACCCATGCTTCTATGAGCTTATCTCTTCTCCAATTTACAAGATCGAAGTACAGAAAGGTAGTGCTGATAGTTGCATTCCACCTGTTGCCATAGACTTGGCATTGATGTCATTTGGGAGTGGGAAAGGAGAGAGATTAGTAAATGAGAATGATGTTAAGCCTAAGGAGCTGGGTCTCGCAAGGATTTTCCTCTTGGAAGACAAACTCAGTGTCACCTGAAGCTCATGTCTTTTACTGCTCTGGTCTATCTTCCCTGGTAGGTGTGGGGGATGTAAAGAAGAAAGATTGTCTTGCCTTTTCTTGGCGTTTGCCCTTTTCCTACCTTACCTAGGATTTGTTAAAAGCATCCTGGGACTACTGTCCAATGCCAAATGGCAGCACCAAACCCTTTGCTAACAACCCTTCTCTGGTGATCTCAAAGTACTTCACAAATAACGCCTTTAAAAGAGTCCTTCTGCAGGTGACTACCTGAGCATACCTAGCCCAGCTACTGAGAACTCAGAAAATGCTGGTTGATTCAAGACTGATTGTTCAGAGTGCTTGTACAGCTCTCCTGGCCCAAGAATTCAGATCTTCTCGCCTTTGAGTTGTGTTTTTCTTTAGTTCTTTTTCAGAAAGGCAAATACTGAAGCCTAAAGAGTGAAGTTCATTGCAGGAAAATAGTGAGGAGTCACAGCTTGAACCTCAGGTCTCTGTTCTGTTCACATCTTGTTCTTTCCTTGCATCTATGGCTTAAGGCTGTCCTGGGAATAGAGAGCTGTGTAGGAAGTAGTCGCTATCTGAATAAAACAAATCTGAGCACTTGCCAGCCTCCTTGTTTACACTGTCTGAAGAAGAGCTAATCCACTAAGAAACTGCTGGGGAAGGAAGTTGGGTACATGAGTTCCCATTGGGTGTCTTTTCCTTCACCAAGCAGCTGTGCTGAGCAGCTTCCTCTGTTGTGCGCCTTACCTGCAAATATTGCTAGCAGGAAAGTTTGTGCTGTCTTACCTCAGCCTGGATGCTCTGGTATTTCTCTGGGGACATGGAAGTGCTGTAGCGGCCAGACAGTGCTGGAGGGGCAGTTCTGTCTGCTTCTGTGGTGGAAAGTATGCTCTGCAGAGATGGGTTTGGATTTGTATTTCCTGGTAACCCCAACGACTGCCTTGCAATGAGCCTGTAGACCTTGCAGATCCAGCAGACCATTGCTCCGCTATTAAACCGCTCTCATTTTAAAGCCAAAAGTGTGGAGGCCTGAATCAGAAAGCCTACCTTGCAACCCTCTGACTTATTGACCGTGAATGGAGTCTTATGATTCCTGAAGGCTGGAACTGCCCTTGTGCATCGTGCAGCTGGGGAACAGGGGAGCAAGAGGCCCCAGATCACACGGCATTGTGGTGGTGCAGAGTCAGAAATGGATCTCGCATTCCCCGGGGTGCAAAATTTCCTGCCACAGTCTCAGCTCTTCCTTTCTGCTCCACAGCAGAGCTGGGCACAAGTTTGACCTTGACATTGCCTGGCAATTGCAGCAAAAATAGGAGAAAGGGATACTTGGAAGGGAAAGAGGCCTAAAGAGACTGAAAGATAAATGGCAGCAATGACCTTGCAGTGTGATGTGCCAGGAAAGATGGTCAGTGTCATTTGGGGGGTTCTGGGTGTAGCGGCTTCCCAGCAGAGCTGGTGTATTTCTATCCTGCCTCCCCCAAATATGAGAAGAGGAAGAGGTAAGCACAAAGAGCAATGAGAAGCTGTGGTTCTTGAGCAAACATTGCACCTGTGAGGGCTTGTTTTTTATTTTTTAATTTGTAAGAAACATAGATGGAATAGGAGAGAAAGCCAGTGACTTCCATGAAGATGGTTCCCCACAGAGAAAGGAGGGACAGCCCCATTGATTGAAGCATTTGCAAATACCTTATATATGAGGATATAAAACCTGTATCAGGTGGGGAGAAGGCCTTTCCTCCCTGTTAGGGACAGGCTGTCTGCATATTTAGTGAGCTGGTCAGGTTCATGCAATGTCTGTTTTGTGGGTTAAGTCTGTGTCTCATCTGTCCTCTCTGCAGGATCCGAGTGAGCCAGGATGGACAGTTTCTGCACTATATATTTCCATATCAGTTCTTGGACTCTCCGGAATGGGAGTCGCTGCGACCCTCCGAGGAAGGAACTTTCCAGGTAACTCTGTACAACCGCCTTGGCTCTGTAGTAGCGTAGGATTGTTCCTTAAGACTTAGTTATGTGCCTCAGAAAGGGACAGAGTTAGTTTGTATCTGCTGTTTGAAGACAATCAGGAATAATTTCCTACCCATCTCCATGGCCGACATCGCAGGATGGTATGACCAGCTGTGTTGTTCTGCTTCTACCTTCCTCTGAAGGAAGGACAAGGGTGCTGGTTGCAGGTTAGCAAGGAGACAAAGCATTGGATTGCTGTCTCACTTCCATTACAATCATCTCTCACATTGTTGTGTTTGCCCTGCGCGCTGCTAGAGGGATGCATCATTTTGTGATTGGGATGGCAGCTCTGGAAAAACATGACAGTGATTTAAATCCTTAAATATCCCATTCCACACGGATATTTCTGTTGATAATGTGTTTGGGATGAAGAAGTAGAAAGGATGATTCACGCCTGCGTGTGGTTCTTTCTCAGTGCAAGAATCCCTTCTTCAGAGGTCAGACTGATTCTTATTTGCAGCAACTGAAAAATAGGGTTTTACCCTTGCTGTCAGCACCACACTATTTGTTTGCCTTTTCTGTTGGAGATTACTCAAGCCCACATCTTTCTGCCCTTAACTCATAAACCAGGATAGGCTGATCCCTATCAGGATATGAATCTACAATATGCCAGTTAGGGCATATAAGGAGAGATTTTGCTAATCCCTTGGGAACATAGGACAATCACAAGGGAACAATGGTGTTTTCTTATGAGGGCAGCCAAGTTCAGACTTGGTTAACACAGGGCAGCTTTCAGAATATGCATTGCTCAGCCCTGAACTTCTCCCTTTTATTATGAGAGGGTTCACGGCAGTAACTGCTGGAGGCTACAACAATAAGTGGGGTTTTGCAAGAAGAACTTTGCAGGTGATGACTGAGCTGGTGAATGAAGCACAGAGCTACAGCTTGCAAGGAGGCAGGCAGCAGAAACTGGGATGTAACACCTATATAACATGTCAGATGAGGGTAGGAAGAGAATAACTGTGATGGTGGTGGTGCCCCACGAACAGGTCTTCAGCCCAGTTGCAAATTGCTGCTAGCTCCCAGGCTTTGCAAGAGTCATATAGAAGGAATATCTGCCTAGGTGCTTCCTGAGGAACAATACTCTCTCTAAGGGAGGAGATGGCTGCATGGATAATATGTAACCCGCAGGGACATCTCCAATGTTTTCAATTGTAATTTCTTTGGAATTGAATGTTCCCAGACCTTTGGAGTGTCTTTATGTGTGAGACATCTCCAGAGCAAGCTGATGCTGGGGCTACAGCACAGTCCTACAAAGCACCCCATTCCTGGCTCCTGTCCTGTCGAATGAGATGCAATGGGTCAGGGAGTTCAGTTGTGCCTGGCACCAGAAAGGGAGGAAAGGGTCCTAGGAGGTGGGAAGACTGGCAATATCTTGGAAATGCCTCAAAATCAGGTCTGCTTATTTAGGAGCATGAGCAAAGAGCAGGCTATGTGAGCCTGTGAGATGTGACAAGTCCATGTTCCTGGCAGGGCATTATTTTTGACAACCATGCTTACTTATGATGATGTGCTGCTCTTGGCAGCTGTTCAACCCATCAGTTCCTTTTATATGAGTAATGAACAAAACTCTTTTTTCAATCGCAACACCAAAATCATTTGAGTAAAAAAAGTATGTTTGATTCTAGGACTTTGTTTTAGGAAGGCAGGGAAGAGTTTTCTTCTTCAAGTACTGCCTAGGTTGAGCAGCTTCAGTCCTGGGCCTAGCAAAAAAAATGGCAAAAGTCTGACTTAAGACAATCCGTAAGACAATCCAATTTCCTTATGCTTTCTGCTTTAGCTGTGTCATCTTCCAATAAAATTGCTGCTTCCCGGTATCTGGAGTAGTTGGGTTTCATGACTGGCGCTTTTTCACCCAGAAGACTGAATGATGAGCTCTGATGCAATGCACGAGCATGTGCGTCGGGGGCATTCACAAGTGAATTCTGTCCTGCTGCCCTGGTTAAGGGAGAGGTTTTGGTTTTGCATTTTGCTTTACTTATCCCTTGTTAGAAGCAGAGAGTTGCCAGACTCTGGTTCGGAAAATGAGAACCTGGTCATTCAAATTTCTGTGCGATCCTTACTTACTCTCACCTCGACCTGGGAAAGTTGTCAGGTTTTCACTCTTATATTTCTTTCATAAGGCAGCTGCTTGCAATGGCTGTGGCATTAAATATCAAACCCAAGGACACACGCTTGTAGCCAAGCCACGTTTAGCTTCACAGTGGCTTTCTGCCATGGTGGCTGGCCAAGGAGACCCCTGGATAGAGAGTGAAAGGGAGCCCCCAGGATATTTTGGCTCTGTCACTTGTTCGCATTCCAGTGTCTCCATTACACTCGGATGTTCTTCTCCGGCCCAAGGCAGTCTGATCCTTCATGTGCTTTATCTTATGGTTTGCTTTTTATTATTTCAACCTAGACACATACTTACACTGTATATGAGTGTGTATATACATAAGTATATGTACATATACATATACTGTATATATATATATATATTTAATTATTATCCTTAGCCTAGTCTTAGGGCTAGGGAAAATAGTCTTTAATATTGGTAAAACCCAAAGCAAAATGAATGTACTTGAAATCAACCAAATAAAACTTCTAATAGCCTGAGATGGACCATGTTGGATTATAATGTCTGACATTCTCTAATTGTCTGTTCCCTCTCTAAACGCAAACATGGTTAAGTCTTTATGACTTCCTCTCTCCTCTGACAGGTCTTCCTCTCTTGTTAAACTGCCTTGTGCTGCTGTGCATTGCTAAATACTGTTATGCCCTACTGTTATGCCCTGTGACAGCTGGTGAGAAAGAGTGTCCCTCCAGGGAAGGACAAAGTAACCCTACCAGGTGGTACTTCCCATGCCCCAGACCTTCTCAAACCTTGGGGCAGCGTGACCCTGGCTTGCAGAAGGGCTGGCAGCTGGTGATCTGCCCCTGCCTGACAAGCAGGACTGCCCCCGTGTTTCTGTACATGGATAAGGAGCTCCATGCTATCTCTGCCACCCTATTCATTTCAGCTGCCTTACTTGGGAACAAAGAATGATCGTGCTTTGAAAACAAGAAAGCAAAAATGAAGGAAAACCTGATATCCATTTTTTGGCGGGGAAGGAAGCAGAAGAGGGTAAAGATCTATCTAATCATACAGATTTGATGCTCTGACTGTCCACCTCTGCCATTCCTGAAGAAAGCAGATATCAAAGGACGTAAGGCCTTCATCAGAGAGGAGCCTCACATCCCCATGGTGGGTGATTTCAACCAGAGCAATGCGACTTACTCTGTTCCTGACCTGTGCTGCTCTTCCCCCTGTCCTGCAGGTCACACTGACAGCTGAAACTGATTGCAGTTATGTCACCTGGCCAAGGAAGAAGCTGTACCTCCTCTTGAGGAAAGACCGCTACATTGCTCGCCTCTTCTCATCCCATCTTGGTTATGACATCTCGGAGAAGCTGTACTCCCTCAATGAGAAGCTCTTTGCCAAGTTTGGCCTTCGCTTTGATATCCGCCTGCCGAGCCTCTACCATGTCCTAGGACCATCTTCCTCAGAGGCAGAGGGGGAACTGGAGGAGCATGAGGAGCTGCCACCTCACCCTTCACCTGACTGCGTGCAGTCCAGCACCTCAGAGCCTCCTCCACAGCCACCACCGCCTCCCCCTGCTCCACATCCCAGGGCCTCCCGGCCTGACAGTGACCTGCTGGGTGAGGACTCTACCAGTCTTGTCTTGGAAGATTTTGCTGAGTTGCCAGGGTCTTTTATGGACTATGTGAGCGAAGGGGAGTATATGAAGTGAGGGTACTCCTAGCACAGGCACACATCACCCTTTCTGGGATTCCCGTGTAAGTACTTGGTTGCAGAAGTAGATTCTTCTGTGTCTGCCTGGGCCTTTGCAATGCAGTTGCCTGTGCAAAGCTTAGCACTAACCCTGCCTGGAAGAGGTGAGGCCTAACACACCCCAGTCCCTAGCCTGATTTGCCATAGGTTTGAGTCTTTGCAAACCTGGGAAAGTGGTAGAAGTTCAGGTGGCTTCACAGAATGATTAAGGTTGGAAGAGACCTTTGGAGATCATTTAGGCCAACTCCCTATTCAAGCAGGGACACTTAGAACACTTGGCACAGGGTGGCATCCAGGTGGGTTTTGAAGATCTCCAGAGAAGGAGACTCCACAACCTCTCTGGACAGCCTGTGCCAGGGCTCTGTCACCCTTACAGTAAAAAAACCTTTTCCTCAAACTCAGGCGGAACTTGCTGTGTTTCAGTCTGTAGCCACTGCCTCTATTCCTGTCACAGGTTACCACTGAAAAGAATCTGGCCCCATCCTCTTGACACCCTCCCTTAAGGTATTCATACACGCTGATAAGATCTCTTCTCAACCTTCTCTTCTTTAAGCTGAACAGGCCCAGCTCTTTCAGCATCTCCTCGTAGGAGAGCTGTTCCAGTCCCCTGACCATCTTTGTAGCTCTGGACTCTCTCCAGCAGCTCCACATCCGTGCTGTACTGGGGAGCCCAGCACTGGGCACCGCACTCCAGTTGCGGCCTCACCAGGGCTGAGCAGAAGGGGAGAATCACCTCCCTCCACCTGCTGGCCATGTTCTTCCTGAAGTACTCCAGGATACCATTTTGCACCAGGACTCCCAGGTCGCTCTCCTCAGAGCTGCTCTCCAGCAGGTCAGCCCCCAGCCTGTACTGGTGTCTGGGGTTATTCCTCCCCAGGTACAGGGCCCTGCACTTGTGTTTGTTGAACTACACAAGGTTCCTCTCTACCTGTCTCTCCAGCCTGTCCAGGTCCTTCTTGAGTCACATGGTCCTCCAGTTTATCAGTCACTCCTCCCAGTTTCGTATCATCAGCTTCTTTCAGATCCTGAGAGGCTGAGCAACAGACAGTGAGGTGCCCAACAGCCCCAGAAGGAGGTTGAAAGAAGGTGACTTCTAGGCCTTATCAGTTCCCTTCTGGGAGTTTACTAGTATAGAATAGTTTAACTAGCACAGAATACTGTCTCTGTCTACGGGTATATAGATGGGTTTATGATTAGGTATCAACCCTGTTCCTTTTCTTTTTCTTTTTTTTTTTTTCTTTCATGGAAATCGCCCCAAATAACCTTCATCCCTACTAGCTGTACATACTTGGTCATAATTATGCTAGCAAAGTCTGTGCTAAAATCTGTTGTGAGATTTGTGCTGCATTTTTCACTTGCCTCCACAAAGAATTCCAAGAGAAGTGCTGGATCTGTGTGATTTTTCTTCAGGAAACGCATGATAAAAACTTAATTCCAGGCATCAAACAGTGGTAGGGAAGAAGAATGGGTAACTTGACTAAAGGAAACCATCCCCATGTAGTGGCACAGAGTGACAACTGTGCCTTCTCTCCATCTCTGAGTATGAAAAGGCATCATTAGAGTGCCCAGACTGCTGAGTGGTGTATGTCTGCCCACAGGACAGCACTGGGTTTTGCCTGGCTTGCTGTGAGGTAGAGCTGTGCCTGGGGATATCCCCATATTGAACTGAGCAAGGCTGTGGCAGGCAGTAGAGCAGACAGGTAAGGTTGATGTTGATTTAAACAGGTGCTGGGTTTAAAGTGGATTTACAGCGGGGTCCTTCCTCTCCCTGCCCATGCTGGCGGACCACAGCACTTGCTCTGCTCTTCTTGATCTGTTGAGCTTTGGCCCTGTCAGATCTCTGTGTGTCCAGTGACCCTGCGTGAGCTGACAACTGTTGTTTTAACATGCCCCAAACTCCTCTGTGCAAGTCCACAGGGAAAATACTGCAGGAATGTTCTTCCTATCTGCAGGGACATGGAAATAATTGTGCTATTGTAAAATGCCAGTGTCTTTTTCTGCAAGGGAAAAATTCCTGGGCCTGGTGAATGTAGGGGCAGAGGAGCAACACAAGCAAACAGAAATAGACGGGAAGGTGATTGTGCTTGAAATCCACGTTCAAATGGCCAAGAGTTAAATTCCATGCTGAGCTACTTTTAGCCAGCTGCTGCCTGCCAGCTGCAGTGCCTGAATGTGCATTCCTGTTGCCGCCCTCCAGTAGCCTTTCTGGCATCCAGCGGCCCGACACTGAGCTAGGGCCCAGGATTTCTGTCTGGGAAATGACCACCACAGTGGGGCAAGTGGTGGGTCTCTGAGCTTGCTTGCATTCTGCAAGCTCCAGTGCTTCTTGCTCGGCAGTCCCTGCGCAGCAGAGCTGAGCCCAGCGAGAGCAGATCGCCCTCTTTCCTCCCCTTCACTGTGTGCGTGATGGTTCCTGAGGGCAGGGAGGAAGCTGTGGTGCTGGGCTGTAGCTGAGGACATTTGTCTTCCAGCAGGTATCCGTGAACACCATGCACGCCAGCACTGCAACCTGCCCTACCCCAAATTAGGGCTACTAATGAGTGTGTTTAAGCAGTGGAGAGAGGGTCTGAAGCGGTGCTGCCACTGCCTGGGTTGTGGCCTTGCCAGAGGGGAGCACGAAACAGGACACAGGGAGTCCTGGCAGGTCTGCAATAACCGTCCCTGCTGTGCAGGGCTGTGCCAACTTCACTCCTTTTCCAGCCAGGGGACTGTCCCTTCTAGGGCGTATAAGTGGAAAAGCTCTCTGGATCTGACAGCAGTAGCTGTGTGCAATAGGCCTATGGTGGGAGAGGCCTTGCTGGCTGTTTCCTCCGTTATTGTTCGTAGACTCGGAAAACAAGCTAGAAGATCTTCCTGTTTTGTACAGTTGGGCATGGAGTCACTCGCCTGTCCCTGTGCTGCTTCCATGCCCCCAGACTTTAAATCTGGGATAGTAAAGAACTGACTAGAAAAGTAACAAGTATGTCTGGTTTCCCCTGAATTGACTAAAAAACAATCATCCAGGGTGCCTTTTTTCTTCCTGCCCCCCCCCCTTTTTTTTAATAGAAGGCAGAAAAGGAGAAAGAATAAAAAGGTTATTCTTCCTTTGTTTTCTAGCTTAGAAGTCCCAGGAACGTCAAGTTTAACTAGTCCCTGCTTTCCTGGTAGACTCCTTAGAAATACCAGATTTCTAAGGAAATTACCAGATACTCCTTAGATTTGCAGCTTTCTCAGTCCTTACTTGGAGAGGTAGGAACACTGAACTATTTGTAAGACAGACATCCTCTTAACTGTAAGGCATTTATGTTGAATAGCTGCAATCAAAAATAAATGCAGTCAGTATTGTAAATGAAGCAAAGTCCCTTTGCCTAGATTTTGGTTTTATGTTGTCTTCTCAGCAGAAGGATGTCCATTCTCAGGTCATCAGCAGGGCCTCCTGATTTATTAAGCACGACGAAATCACAATTTCAAATGAAATTTAAAAAGGGGGGACCTTGTGAATGAGGCAGTATCAAGGTATGCTGATGTTTGAAGTGGAGACCTGCAGTGCAAATCCAAATGTGTCAGAGACGGGCATTTGAGGGACAAGGAGGTGACCTTCCTCCTCCATCACTACTGACAGCCTCGTGTCATCAGTGCAATAGCCTCGTGTGGTATTTTCATTTTTAAGGTTCTTAGGCAGGTAATGCAAACTGTTTAGTGTGGTGCCATAACAAAAAGGTAATTTCCTTGCTTTTCTGCTCATCCCCTAGGTGTTCCTAGGCATGTCACCTCACAGCAGCAATTGCCTTCAACAGCAAGCCAATGTTAGGACAATATTTCATAGTGACCTGGGCTTCTGCTGGCACAGATTAGTGACAAAGAGCAGCTGCAGTTCTCTCTTCTGGGGAAGCAATCACCACAATCTTAACAGGCTGGCCACAGCTTGGGGAGAGCAATTTCATAACCCCTCTTTCGAGGGTGGTGAAAACATAAGTAGTCAATGCAGATATGCCCTTCAGTCCTGTTGTTTGAAGTGAGACATAACTGTGGTAGCAGAGGTCAGAGCTCCCCTGGGGCTTTCCCCTGTTCTGTGTTCACGCTTGCTTCCCCTGCAGCTTCTAACCCAGGTAATTCCCTTTCTGCCTCTCCAAATGTCCCTTGCTGAAGTGTTTCAACCTGTCGTGTTCCTTTTCATTATCTGTTGCTGCAATAGCCACCTTGCTGTTGCAGTGCTGTGCAGATCATGAAGAACAAGATGTGTTCTTGTGTATTGGCCTACTGCATTGATCAGCTAATTGCTTGGAAGAGTTTCTTGTCTGGTGAAGAACAAGAGGGACTGTGATATCCCACTGCTGAGCACTTCCTTTCTCTAAGGAGAGTTGTTTCAATAACTTACCAAGCTCCCCATTTAAGATTCTGTTCAAAACTTACTTTGGCAGTGTACTACGATACAATTAATGCTCCCTAGCAAATGAGGTTTTGTATTTTAAATAGATATTCAAAAAAACAAAACAAAACAAAACAAAACAAAAACGACAACAAAAAAGCCACCTGTGTATTCTCCCTTTCATAGAGCATTTGCTCTACTCTGTTGTTACAGGATGCTTGCTGGATGGGAACTGCTGTACAGCTACGTCTTTGGGCTGGCTTTCTATTTGGTGGGTGCAATGTAAGGATCAGCGCTTGGTGGCCTGTGGCCTAGCAAGAACTGCTCTGAGACTAAAAGCAAAGGGACTGCGGCCTTCGTGTTGCTCGTGTGACATGAGATGCTTGTGAGAGCTTTGCTTTTGCTGTCTCAGAATGGGTCTGTAGTCCCAGTTCTGATTTATAATTTTGGAAGAATGATAAAAATGTATATGCTAGCAGAGAAGGACAGGTAACTGGGATCCGTGAGGCTTGCGTGCTGGAAAAGTTTGGAAGATGGGTAAGAATTATTGATTTGATAATAATGTTTTTTCTCTCTCTTTGTCTCTTTTTCCTTCCCCTCCTCGGCTTTCCTTCTGCAGCCCCTGGAAACCTTCTTGGGAGCTATCCTCCACCTCTCTTCAAAGGACGAGCCCCTCTGGCTCCCACCCAGACCCCTGAACTGTAGGGAGCAGCAGGCTGTGCGGATCCCGAAGCCCCTCTGGGGCTGTGTGTGCTCACATGTATTTCTGCCCAGACACTCTCTAGCATGCACTGAAAGGTCTGCCTGCAAGCAAGTCCACTCAGGAGCACCTAAAGCACACTGTGAGACTGCAGCGTGGCACTCCAGCACCTCCCACCCCACGGTCTGTTCACCAGAGCTGCCTGCCTTGCTGCATTTCCCTGTTTGGTCTACCAGGCCTGTCTTTGCGAGGTGTTGGCAGCCCTGACACCGACGTGCACTGATATCACCTGAAACAATACTAGCCTGCGCACAGAATCTGTTTTCCCTTTGATGTGATGGTTCCCATTAAAGACAGGGATGAAATTGCTGGTGTTTGAGGATTGGGAGAAGGAGATGTACAGTTTAAAGGGTGTGAGGTGTTCTCAAGGCATGGGGAAAGGACAGTGGACAGTGGGGTGGCTGAAGGCTTTGGTAACAGATGTGTGATGATAGAGCTTTAGGTAGAGATTTGGTGGAATGTATCACCATGGGCATCTGCTCTAATCAGACCTGAAATTCCTTTTCCATAGACCTCCATAGAATCTTTCTATAGACTCTTCTCATACAGGATAAACACCACTTAGTAATGAAATTACAGTTTCTGAAGCAGATGACAGATGGGTTGAGTTCACTCATTTGCAGTAAGAAAGGGGAAGCACTGGGATTATATTTCTGTGTTCTGCTGATACAAGAAGTTGGGGGCAGGTTTAGGCAGGAGGGACCTGAACTTAAGGCTTTCCTAAGGCAGAAGTGCCTTTAGCAAACCCCACTCTCCTGACCATAGTGTTCCTTGTGCACTTTTGGATCACCCAGTGAAGCTAATCCAGGGATCCAGAGAAGGTGGTCTACAGAAGATGTATTTTGTGGCCAAAAGTAATGGGAGAACTGTCTCCTTTGATTTGAAAATACATCTAGGTGGTGGGAAGATGGAGAATGGAAAACGGGTGGATGAGTGAGAGCTGTCTCTGTGTGTCAGAGCATCCCTTACATGGTAGTCTTCTGGCCAGCTCCTTCCAAATTCTTCCAGGTCTGAGGGGCTATGCAGAGTTCCTGGGACTATGTTTGATGGCCCTGCAGCCAGGATGCTCTTTTCCCTTCGTATTACCTTCTGTTTTGGGCAGTTGTTCAAAGCAATGCAAGGTGGGTGTAAGCATGTTACTGTGCTCCTGGCATCTGTTTCACTGCGTATGAGTCTCGAAATAACAAGACTGCAGCCAGAAGAGCTGCTCCAGTCCTGTGTGGGAGTGGGCTCTATTCTGATTACTTGGCCAGAGTACTATCATGAAATCATCATGAAATCAATATGTTTTTACTGTGAAAGTATCTTGTAGGTGGGACTAGTGAGTTTTGCATTGGGGAGGCTCACTAACCACAACAGTTCCCCCATGCTGAGCAAAATAATACTTTGCACCTTTAACCATTGGAAGATCATTTAATAAAGCACAAATGAATCATCCCAGCACTCTGTGTATGAGGAGTGACATTTATCTCAGTTTTTTCTTTCTAATACAAACATTGAGAATTGGCTTGCCAGAGTTGCTTTCAGAGCTGGGAACAGAATCGGTGAGACAGAAGTCTCAGACCACCCTTTTAGCTGGGACAGCTCGTTGCAATGAATACATCTTGCCTTTGTTAACATACCTCGTGCTACTTTTCCAGAACAATCCGTTCCTAGTGCAGGGAGGAGGGGGGAAAAAGCCAACCATTTCAATCCCTTATGGTCCAAGTATTGTCCATGAGCAGAGAGGAGCACCAGGTTTCATATTCCTTTCCGTTTTGGGTACGCTTGCACGCTCGGCAGGCAGTGCTAGGCACAGGCAGCGGGCACCTCAAAGGAGATGGCTGTGTTGCTGGGGAGGGTGAGGTTCCAGGGCAGGCAGAACACGGTCCTGCTGTGGGAGGAACACAGGGAAGTCAGGCTGTTTGAGCCAGGTTTGAGCAGGCAGAGGTTGCTATCCTAACTCAGAAGCAGTGAAGCTGCTGATGGACCTTGGGCTGCTTCTGAGGGTGCCCCTCACTCTTCCATCCTCACCTCCCAAGAGCATCTTTCTTGCTCTGAGCATTCCTGGTTTTAAGAGACGAGAGCAGCTGTGAACATGGGTTCCTAAGTTCCTCCAGGGATGCAGGTTAGCACACACTCGGGGCAGTCTGTCATGTTGTCCCATTTGTAAGTGGAATAATGCCATGCACTTACATCTCATCTTTGGAGTGCTTTGTGCTGCAGAAAAAGCTAGTAAGGAATAATCTTTATGCTCAGTGGAATGTCTTGTATTTATTTAGAAACACCTATCCCTGTCTGGGCTCCTCCTGGCTACATTTTGACTTCCTTGTGCTTGAGTGTCCTCATTGCTTGTGGAGACAGAATTTGAATGTTAGGCAGACCCCCTTCTGCTTCTGCCTTTCCCTACATTGAATTTGGGCATTGAATGCCCACTAGTTTGCTTCAGCTCAGAGATGGGATAAGAATTAGCTCACCAGCAATTTGGATAATCAGAGCTTAATATGTCAGTATAGATGCAGCTATTTTGCCCTGCTCGCAAGGACTCTGAGCCTGCAACGCTAATGGCAAAAAATATTGTATTATGGAGAAGACCATTACCTCTCTCAAGGTTAGAAGGACTCGCCTGCTTCTACCCTGGAGAAATTAATTATGGCCGAAGGAAAGTTCTCTGCAGTGTCTGGTCCAGACAATGTCAAAATGGTTGTCTTAGGCTCAGTGCTTTATAAACCTGTGCAGCATAAGAAATGTGTCTTCTGCTGTCTCTTCCTGAAAAACGCGTGCCTGGCATGTCTCAAAATGGATCCCATTGTAGTCAGGGTAAAGAAGCAGAGAGCAAGCAAGGGCAAAAGAATAATTCCTAGCTGGATAAGTTTTCGTCATGGTCCATGACTTCGGTGTATTTAAGGTGTGAATGACAGTTATTTTCCTTCCCTGGCACAACACTTTTTATCCTGCGTGAAGAATTGAAGAAAACCCCTAACCTCAGCAGTTTTTCTCTCTCATAGGTAGGAAATGATTTACATAGGGACACAGAAGGGATGGGAGAGACCCCGTTACACGTTTATCTAAGCAGATGTGAGCATGCATTTGTTCAAGTCATAAGCTGTTCCCATAGGGGCAGTGCATCCCTGAGAGATATTTCTGTGGCTTACTTGCTAGCGAGAGGCAGCGAGGCTGTGCAGAACTTGCCAGTGATGGATGACTCATCCTTCTTCCAAAATCGATCCCTGGGGAGATACTTCAGCGTCACATTGTTTATCTGGCAGAAGGGAAGTCGGTGGGCCAGAAGCCGCTTGCCTATGCTCTGCTGCTTCTGTCTGCAAGGCACAATGAGAGTGGTGAGGGAGAGCATCTAGTCAAACCGCAGAGGCAGTCCATGAAGACAGCGGGGTTCAGTTTTGTTAGAAGCCTGGAGGAACCAGTAGATCTTAATGTGAACTCCTCACATAACAACACCAGTGAGAAGGCTCAGCTGTCAAATTCTCATTGCATGAGATTATGAGAGCTAATATGTTCTTTCTGCTCCCCTCTGCTTGTTTCATCTCTGTAGTCAGGAATGTTTGCATAAAAACATCATTTCTTCTGTCACACAATTACAACAGCTCTACCTGCTATTGTCTATAGATTGCAACACTGCCCAGTTTGCTATAGAGAGGTAAGTGGTAGATATGTGCAGCATTTATGATTCCGGTAGATAGGGATTGATTGTTTGGCATTTCTTTCAGTACATGAACTGGAGGTCATCATAGGAAGCTAACAAGCATCAAGTTAAAACTGGTAGGCACACTGCACGAGGTACCGTTCCATTAAAGCCATAAAAATCTTGACTGGAGGATGTTGCAGGCTAAAAAGCTTAAGTGAGCTCAAGGGAGGGTGCTGGACAAGCTCATGGAAGATAAAAGCCAATGGTAGTTATTAAAGACCAAGATTTCACCTTTGGCTCAGAAATTCTCAGATGTAATTATTTAGACATTGGGAAAATACTTGGGGGGGAGTATTGCTACATGTTTACATCTTTATATTGCCTTTTTATACTGTTATTGAGGCATTTGCTTTTCACAGAATCACAGAATGGTTGAGGTTAGAAGAAGCCTCAAGAGATCATCTAGTCCAACCCCCCTGGACCATGTTGATCCTTATAGAGATGGACCTTTGTCTGTCCCTATACCCTTCTCATGGACTGAGCAGTGCCAGATGTGGAGTATGCAGGTAATACTCAGAGACAAGTGGAAGACCTTCACAGCAGCACTGCCCAGCTGTTTTACCTAGGTCAACTGCTTCCTTCCCTTAAGTGCAGTGCATCCTGTTGGACTTCTTACGGCTGTTCATTGGGCATTTCCAGGAGCCTGGTGTTACACAGGAACATCACTTTCCCTGTGCTTGTGAAGAATAGCTTAGTGCAGTCCCCAGCGTGCCTGGCTGACTTTGCTTGTTATCAGGAATTGGATAGTAAGGAAAGGGAATAAAGGAGAAAAGGGTCTAAAACAGGCTACAATTCCGCTAGCTACAACTGCCTCAGGGAGCAGGCTAGGGGCTGGATTCAAAGTCCTTCTAGGCCAGAGGGACTAACCCAAACGATAGCAACCAGACCTTCCTTAGACTGCACTGGTAGGTCATGGACAGTACATGTGACTGTGTCTGCCTTGGAGTTACCAGAAATAGGTAACATCAAATTGTGTCTATAAAGGTGAATAATGGGCAATGAATGTAAAACTGAGGAGCTTTCTCATATGCATGTCTCCATCAGCAGGATCCAGTCCTACTTGAGAATGGAGGGGCATAATAAGGTTAAGTGGGTTGATGAAATTTGTTCCTAAGATTAACATTTGGTCCAAATCTACAAAATATTTGGATGTAGGACTCTGGCTAACTGAACAGACCTTCAGAAATATGTTTTCTTGGATATGGGGGACAAAACTGTCTTGCAGTGGAGAAATGTGCCATGTAATAAATTACCTGCTCTGTCAGTCCCGTGGCAGCTCTGGGGCCTGGGAACCTGTCTCGTGGGACTCAGAACAGC